GAAGAAGCAGCAGAGCACGTAGAGAAATTCAAGTACCTCAAGGGTCGTATTTACTGGTGACAGAAAATTTGAAGAGGAGATCGATCTGCGGAGTGGAGTAGCCAGTGGCATTCTGCGTTCTCCGCGAACTAGCCCGAACCGTTGTGACTAAAGCATAGCTGAGTCTGAAGACTAAGCTCTCGGTGTTTAAGACGATCATCACACCCATGCTAACCTACGGTCATGAGTCGTAGACCATAACAGAAAAACTTCGACCTCGGGCACAAACGGCTGAAGTGGGCTTTTTGAGACGAGTCGATGGAGTCATGCGTCTCGACATGGTTCGGAGTCAAGAATTCTGAGATTCCAGGTGCAGAGCCGCTGCTTTTTTAGACTAAGTCACAGCCGCGATGGTTTTGGCACATGTTGCGAATGTCTCCAAAAAGGAACTCGAAGCAACCACTACTTGCCCAACCGACCGGCAGAAGACTTAGGGGACGACAGCGAGTATCCTGCTGCAATTGTTTCAAAAGAGTCTACTCTAGACACCGGTTGTCTTGTGCCAAAGCTTAGATGCTGGCATGATCGGGAACGTTAGAAGCACTGTCTGACGCGTCTGCCTTTACGACCAGAAAAAACGGTCATGGAAAATGAATGAATGAATTGTTATCTGTGTTCAACCCAGATAGCTTCTGCGTTGGTGGATGAAGGGAGAAAACCTGCATCGCACCTAAAGCCATCGTTCTGTTGTAAAGGTGGATTAAACATTCGTGCAGTTATAATACGATGGGGTCTCAGTTTATTTGAAGGGCGCTAAGCTTCCAGAGGCAGCAGCGGCGAAGTTATACCGGGTAAATTTTGTCAACACATCACCGCGGGATAAGGTGAAATCAGAAACCGTGAAAAAAATGAACGAAAAAAAGGACCAGGAAGCACAGGAAAACATAAGTAGGAGAAAGGAAGGGAGGAAAAGAAGAGAGAAACGAATGTGAAGAAGTGACTTGATGCTTGTTAAGAACGATAAGAACTTGTGCAGATCAATGAAATACCTGGAGGAAACGGACTCGTAACCGTTCCTCCCCGACAGCGGTAAACATAACCATCAAACTGTTTTCTATCAACAGCAGTTGTCTAGTGATTCACTAGACATACCTGGTTGCTTTTTCTAATCTGGCCGAGACCTCATTATGAAATCGAAATAACGGAACATATGTCAATAGAATACGTACCGACAATTGCTTCAAAGTTTGCATTTGTAAGGGAAACGATGTTTCCTTCAACCGGAATGACAAAAAACAACTGAAAGCACAGCTAAGATTGAGTAAATGTATCGTCACTATTAAACCAAATACCATAAAAATCCATAAACCAACAGTGATCACAGATCTCGGCAATGAGGTCAGCGAACTTAAACACGCAAGCATAATAAAATGTTCAGGATGGAACGAATGATTCACCTAAAAATAGACAGTTCAATTTTCATAACTAGAGTATTTCTTGAAGTTAACAAAAACGCGGTAAAGCAACAGACATTGCATTAAAGAGGCAGACTTTACTGCATAACCTTAATTTTAACGGGAAAATTCTGCGGTGGGCAATACCAACAAGAAAAAAAGTTCACGAATGGCAACTTTCGGAAATAAGTTTACCTGTACTGCGCTCCACAATCTCTACTACTTGACTAAATAGGCGCAAAATTCCATTTTCCAGCAAAACAGAGAACGGAAACAATTGATAATCATTACGTTATATATTCAGTACTATTTTTATGATAGCGATAACAGCGAACAAATTATACAAATGCGAAGTTCAAATAAGACAGAAATATTTTTAGTGTAATAAAATAATTTTTGTTAATGCGTAGAGTAAAGGATACTTTGCTACGATAACCCATGAAAACAAAATTCTTATCCGCTTATCAAAGAAGAAACAAAAATAAGTGCAAACGAGAATATAAGGCGTTAAAAGAATAGTGTCTGTAGGGAGGTTTTCGGGGCAACAAAAATAAAAACAGAAACACTTGTAACCGTTGGGATATCAGTTTCCATTACACTTTCACGGCTGACTACCATTTGTACCATTTTTTGACGACACTAATCTCTGTCGTCGCCATTATCGCCTCAATCAGTCAGTAGTGCCTCACGAGTCATTTTTAGAGCAACGGCGTTGCTCAAGCTTCATCACTGTACCATTAAATTGTGATAACGGTGTCAAGTTGGCGAACAAATGGGAGGATTTGAGCATCTTTTCGTGGCTAACTAGGTCTGCTTTCGTACGATGTTGTGGAGGCACCTCTAATCTTCTTGTGTGACGACCCTCTGACCTGCCGAGGAGTCGGCTAATAAAAATCAGATGCGTACCGGCATTTCAGCGTCGTTTAAAGAAAACGACGAAACCAGGAAGAAACGGCCTTAGCGATCGAAGCTGATTCGTCCACCGCTCACGATCAGGAAAAACCCATCTGCGCATAACATGTTCGGCCAACTGGCGCACAATCAGGAAAAAACCGACAAATACTCGAGACTCGTTGACCGCTAACAGCGACAAGGACGAAAACCATAAAAGATACCGCCTCTATGTACTGATATATGCTGATAACGAGGTTTGTATCTATTGAAATAAACCCTTTGTCATGGAATCACACTCATGAATCACAATATGAGACGAATGTATTTACTAGGGTTCAATATATCCAAAAAAGACGGACTGACTTAGCATCCGCAACATTATTAGGTTCCACATCATAACTAGTCCTACAGAATTTATTTGCAAATTTTTAACTGGTAAATGAAAAACCATTTCCACATAAATCGACATAAATGAAATAGACTAGACTAATGACTAGACGAACAGACTTGCAGAATAACTGGATGCTGCACAGCCAAGCAAGCAGGATTTAGAAGTGAATTCAGTACGGTTGATCATCAACAGGAAATACAAAAAGGAAATTCAGAGACGCAACAAATATCAAATTCTTCTCTGCACAAGGTTCGTCAACTTCGATAAGGCCTCCTATCCAGTCTACGACAGCTCTGCACTGGATTCCATTAGGAGTCAAAAAAATGAGAAAAGATACAGAGTCCTCAGCGCCATCATTTATAAGAACACAACTTCACGGAAGCAGAAGCAAGCTAAAACACCGAAAAGGGCGTCCGACAGGCGGATGCAATATCTATTTGAATTTATTCACAGCAGCCCTAGAAGAGGTAACGAATAAACTTCGCTGAAAAAATCAGGGGCCAAAGATAAATAGGCACTGCTAATGCCCCATGCAGTTTGCGGGCGATATTATGATATTCTCAAGGCCATCGGAAAACATCCGAAGTAGATTCGAGAGGTGAACGACGCAAGCATCAAAGTAGAACTAAAAGTGAACCTGAAGAAGACTCAGGTATTGTCAAAAAACGTAAACCAGTGACTTGTCGAAGTAAACGGGTTTAGATACGAAGAGGTGGAAAACTACGACCACGTCGGACAGCTCATCGCTGTGATGGAAAACCGGCTATGAGAAATCAAGAGAAAAATACAGATGACAGGGAGCACTTTTGGAAAACTGAAAATGTTCCGATACGGAAAACTCCCCTTCTGCTAGAAACGGAAAGTTTTCGATAAGTGCGGGTGCTCCTACAGCTAACCTATGGGCGCGAAGCATAGACCCTCAGCCAGAAAACTATTCAAAGACTGTAGAATACGCAACGCAGCATGAAAAGACGTAAGATGAGAATAACAAGAAACGACAGGGAGACGAGTGAATATGTAAGAGCACAAACAGTGTCTAATATCACTGCCCGAGTGATGAAGCAATGAGCTGCACAAGGTGGCAATGAGCTGGAGAAGGTGTAAGAAAATACCACTGCTTGACCAGAGACATTAGACTTGGTCCCAAGAGGAGGTAAAGGGTCTGAAGAAAGCCTCTAGACTGACAGCAGCATGAACTGAAGAATTTCGCAGGATCAAAACGGCCAGAAATGGTACAAAACAAGTTTATGGCAAAATCTCGGAGGCCTTCATTCAAAACTGGATATAAAAATGCCCAGGAGTGAAATGAAAGGTTCGTTCTTATTACACATATCCTTGTTTCTGTGTTCTTGTCTGGTGCTATAAACAGAAAAGGGTGCTTGAAACAAGACGAAACTTTTCGGTTAAAATAACGAATAAACCGTCAGTATCAGACGGCAGAAGAGTGCCGACATGAGTCGTATTCACCGGGCAAGCAAAGTACAATGCACTGGCATCATTTCGCCAACCTTTAGAAAAGAGGGAAAAGAGGGCTGATTATTTGGAAAAGTGCTGACGGTCGGGTTGGCAGCTACTGAAACACCAATGGAAACTTCGCCGTTCGAAGCGCAGGTGGGTCAAACAAGCAGGCCGCCAAGTCACCGTGTAACTGTGTAAGCAAAATATTGTCGAAAAGTGAGGCGCCGCGCAACAACTTTCTACCACCTGCAGACACTCACGCATGAGGTGAAAAGTGAGACTTGCACCTGGAAATAAGTGACCATTCGACAAGAAAATCTCTTGGACAAATGACCAGGAGGCAGGAGGTGGTAACCGGCATTACTCAGTCTGCTCATCTCATCCGTGTTCGTCGTTGCCAAAACCGCACGCGGGTTCGAGGAACTGACGACGGCCATGAGTGAATGGTTTGTTTGCCTGCATGCCACGAACGTTCGAAGTCGCAAACGATGGCTGGGCAGAGCAGTGAGGCGTCATGTTTGCTGGACGTCCCTGCACCACAAACAGCAGCACACGAGGCGCGACATGTGCATCGGTCACAGGATGAAACTCGCAACGAAGCTGAGACTATATGAATTACACCCCGGATCAGACTGACTATCAACGAGCCTTTTCACACGGCTCGAGAGCGACGGCGCGGAACCCAAAGCCACAGCATAAAACAGTTCTTGATTACTCAGCTGCACTTTTCGAGAATAACTAATAAGCAACAGGCGAGGCTTCGCCTGAAACAAGAAAAATCGCCGACACTACAGCGACTCGTCCGCTTCCTGAAATGTGTGCGAAAGTATAGTATAGAAGCAAAACATGAATTCCCTGGAACCGCAGAGTCAAACCAGCAACCGACCTTCAACTGTTCCGCGCTGCAGTGACAGAAGGTGCCTATAAACTGTTCGCCTCCACAGATGGTCTCGCTATTTATTGAACATGTTTTCTGGAACAATGAAAAAACAGTTCGTCTGCACCACATTCGGCCGATATCGACAAAAAATCAAATCTTCGTAACGTCAGCTAGTATTCCAGTTGCCTCAGGCGACACCCAAAAACCACAAAACGGATCGCCAAAACTACAGCACTCGTCACTAACCAACAATACATCCATCAGCAGAAATACAGCAACGCACATAGACTCTTCATCGTCCATCTCGACTCATTTCCTCAAGATGAAGTGCTTACAAACTCGACTCGTGAAAATCCAAACAATTATAACAAACACTAACAAGAAAACAAAGTTCAGAAGCATTCTCGGCCCTTGACCCTCATTGGTACATTGATATCAATTTAATACAGAAACATGCATGTAGATGAAGTATCTAGCGCTTGAATGGAAGAAACTTACTTTACAAGGAACCTATCAACGACAGGATAATACGCGTAGCGGTCTTAAAACGTATATTTGCTTATTCCGTTTTTTCTGTCTTAACCATTTGCCTGACAATGTAACAACAATCAATCCCAAATCATTCCACAATTTATTCTAAATAATTAATTTCGAAAACGAATTTCTGCTTACATATTTGCAAGCAGAATTCAAATAGCAGAACAAACACGAAGCTTAATCCCGCTTTTACAGGCTGAAAATTAACGAATTTTCGATAGTCAAAATTTTCTAACATCCATAGCAACAGAAGAAAAGTGATCTGCATTATCTGCATTTTTAATCTATCGAAATGCGAAGAACCCGAAAATTACAACTCACACTAAGTTATCATCCCCCAATTCTGTCGTATGGTATATTGTTCTATCATATTTGATTTGCAAGTTAATCCAAAATAGTAAACGTCTTTTAAAAAACAATAATGCGCAAATGATTCTACCTTCTTGCATTCATCTATTAACAATGTAACGTATCACTAGCTGTACGTCTATCGGAAGTGTTTAAATGTTAAATTCATAAATAGAGACAATAATCAACTAACAAATGATACTAACTGTGAACCAAAGGCAAAAGTGTATGAATTCGCAAAAACGATTCTTATTAGTTTATCGCGACAACAGAAACAACTAAATTTTTTTGCAGAGAGATGATAACATAAATATCCATGTTTTTGTCTGGTTGGTCATTGTGGATTTTAAATTTTCCACTAGCACGAAGAATTTTATTTTCTATCGATTTGAAATATCAATCAAAGGAATATCTGGAATGTATGGAAAAATTTCTGATTTGGGAAATGCTAAAATATAAATTTAAGAGGTAGTAGAAGTTCATAAGAAGAATTTCCTAAAAAACAGTTTCCAGAAGCACTCCAAGCCTACGTTCATTAATAGTAGCTTATTTAGATAGATACTTTATTCAATTAATTTCATAATAGAGCTCGGATTACAGGAGCGTGCAACCATGAATCCCATGGTGAATCCTAGGCAAAGTCTGCAAAAGTCTTGCATTTGAAGGTGGCAAATCGCTTGCAAGCATGAACAAGCCTAATGCAGCTGCGACACGTTCATTTGTATGATGAGATCTATTTTTGTGCCGGGGTCGTGAATTTCTTTTGTCGACTCTATATGGCGTTAGTATTAAGTTGAGAGATTTAAAAATGAACTAGTTCTTCCATACGAGAAGAACTTTTAACTTTAATGTTTCATAATATGGATCCACAACAAGACTCGCCACGATCTTACATCGCTCAAGCCTCCCGCAAGACAATCAACCTCCGCATGTTCTAACCCCGTTTTAACGACGAACTTTGCTTTGGTCTTTAGACCCTAGCTTTCAAAGAGATAATTTAGAATTGTGCTAGGATCATCGAGAGGCTGCAAGAAAAAGGTGCTGAGCTTTCAATGAAGGTACGAGCTGAAACATAAACATCTGTTGGCAATATTCAGTTATGCGACATATGGAGACATATGAAATTTATGTTAGTTTCGTCCAGCCTGGTTTTCTCGTATTTTGTTCGTCCTTCAGCAATTGGCTCCGAGATCTTTCTTTCTGCCAGTTTTGTTCCATGCCGTCGATGATGCTTGCTGTTGCTACAGTTTTTACAATTGCTGGTTTAACTGGCTCCAGTGATCTCTGATCGTTCATTTCCGATTTTTTCATTCACTCGCAATGTCAGACACGTCGCTCAGCCGATCATTCTATCATCAATTGCTCCCATACGCTACCGACTAAAACAGGACTTAAACTTCAGCTGTGATAGTGCCCAACCCAGTCCTAATTTGTCAACCTCTTTCATGGTGTTATGCAGAAATCAGAGTGGTTTTAAGTGTAATGGAGGTAATATTGTCTGACGGACGTCACAAAGCTTTCAGCCAACGCTCTTGACAGGTTTACAAAACAGCAGAACGGAGAAGGCTGAAGCGGACACGGTTTGTGGCGTTGAGCATATGGTATGCAATCTGTGTCCGCGAAATCGTTCATAGGCAGCAATGATAGAAAAATTCTGGATTCCTAATATTTTATACTCTGCTGATCCATCTTACACGTGCGGTAGGGGAAGGGAAACTGCTGGCGGTTTGCAAAGTTCAATATTTTGTTTTCAGACTAATCTTTACTGCTTGTACAACAGTTTGCAGTGCTTGAATAAAGCCAGAAAACTTCATATTTTGACTGTCCGATGAAAAGAATGGAGGAGTAAAAGCATTTGAAGGCATCCCACTGTATGTTGCTTGCATCCCAATGCACGACATAGACTTTTGATGTGCTGTTTGTGTAAGGTCTAAAACGCGGAATCCTTCTCATTCGCTCTGTTTAGACAAGCTCTATGTCCACTAAACCTTTTTCTCTCGATTTTTAACGTTACTCTAATATAGTTGTCTCCACTAGAACAACTTTTCCGTTAAACTCTCACGGAATCCCGCTGTTGTGGCATTCCTTTTTTACAGAAGGCTACGCCGTTTAAATTTTTTTCTTTAGTTGTTTCCCCATACTTGGTCATGAAACGTTGCATTCTTTCAACTAAGTTCTTCTTACACTTCTGTAAAATATAAAAAAATTCAAAAATATATATTGCAGTTATTAGAGTAAAGGTGGGAGACATGACAAAGATGTCACAATCTGAGAGAGCAGCAGATAAACCACAACGGAAATTACCCATCTAAAATTTGGGATGGCGGTGATTGCTACTGGATAAATCGTACTTGCGATTAGCTAAAATTTAGCTTCATTACTTTCTCGAAAAGTATTGGAAAAACAGTTCAAATATAATTTTATTCGTACGCATTCATCATAATCTTGACTTTTGTAGGGATGCGTCAGCCTGCGAGGAGTGTTTTTCAGTAAATCATCTTGTTTTCATGTTAGAACGCTGGCTAAAACGTTTCGACAGTATTTTAGCTGTTACTAAATTTCTGCGAGCGAGTCAGAAATTGTTTTAGCGAATTTTTGCGTACGAGTATTTTTTTAGTTTCTGCGTAGTTTTAGCTTAAGAGCAGAATGCCTAATAATGAAGCATTTTTTTGTAATAACCTGTTGGACGTACAAAATTTTATTGTCAAAGGTCAGTAACGTTTGAGAGCTGAGGCATAACGTTTCGATTGTTATGCTAGTTTGATCATCGTTATCTGATGTCTAGTACTGAAGGAAGTTTTTCCTTGGTTTGCTTCAGTTTGCTTTACCTTCTGGAGGCCTTGGCGCCTCAGTGCCGCGGCGAGCTTCGCCTTTTTTTGCTGTTGAACCTCTTGCCTTTTCCGCTGCGTGAAGTTCTTTCTGTCGGCGTCTAATTCCACGTCGAACATGCTTCTTGTCCTCTCCGTGAACTGTTTCCTGATCTACACGTTAAGTTGTTGTTTTGTCATCGTCTTCTCAGGACCACTGCTTAAACTGCAAAGTAATCCAGATTTAAGATTTTCGATCGTTAGAAACGGCACCTCACATAAACCTTTGCTCTTCATCTTCCGTGGCGGCTCTCCTTTCGGGTCGCGCAGGCAGACACGTCAGGCGGTGCTTCCAACGTTCGCTATACCGTGCCAGAGTCTGAGCTTCGACTAGACAACCTGAATCTAGAGCAGACTCATTCCACACAGTGATTAATCTTGGCCGACTCCTGGATCTTCTAAAGTCTGCTGGGAAAATAGTAGCTGTTCAGTAGTAGTCTTCCTTTCTGGAGGCATTCACAACAGGTGCCCAAACTATCACGGCTGCTACTTTGCAATCTGAGGAAGCAGCGGCTCTACACCAGGACTCTCGCTGAATTCTATACTCCGGACCATATCGACTCGCGTAAGGCCAGCGACTCGTCTCAGAGAGCCCACTTCAGCTGCTTGTACGCGGGATCGAAGTTTCTCAATCATGGTCCACAATTTATGACCGTAGGTAAGCATGGGGGGGGGATAAATATCGAATTGAATGAGAGC